CTAATTTGTATGCATAACTTAAGTTTGATCAACGGTTTAAGAAAAAGGCATTGAAGAAGGCACACCTTGATTATGTCAATAAATAGTTTGCATATCAAACAAATTCTTCATTTAAGATTTACTGTAGTTAAGTGTTTTTACTAAAGTCTACATCAAAATATCGAGGCGTAACCCGGTTTTCGTACGAATCGAAAATTTCCCTATAATTGTCTATACAAAAATTTCGAATTTTCGAATCATACGAAAACAAGAATACGCCCCAATATTACGAAAGCATTTTTCCGTAATTGGCTTTTATGGTGCAAAAATATGTATATGATGGTTGTATGTACGTTCATTTACATTTCACGGTTAGGGTTTTTTTCCACGAGAAGGAACTCTGGTCGATTCCTACTAACTATATCCTCACCGAATATCCAGATTTGCAGTCTAATTAGTTTTACGTCCTTAAAAACAAAATATACTTTTTTATGTAGTTGCAACTAACACTAATAGGTCGACTTGTGTATTCGAATCTTCAGTTGATTTAATATGAGTATATTACGAATTTGCATGCGCTTTAAAAACACGTCGTTGTTAGTAGGTATACATATGTGTGTAATATATAATAAATAAGTGTCGATTCGTTAATTACATAATTTTCTTTTTAGTAAAATATTTTTTTTTTATCGTTTGCTTTATTATCAGCCGTGTGCCGAATTTCGCACTTCATTTAAGGCACTTTTGAAGTCTTGTAGTTCATAGCGTATTATGGAATTTTCACAAAACACTATATTACCACAAATAAAAATTTGGCACTTTCGTTTTGGATTCCTCTATATGCATAAATTCACTCCTTGTTTTATGGTTGGAAAGCATGTGCTTTAAGTGATATTTTGTCGCACTAAGCAATTGTATGACAGTCTACATAAGTAATATCACAGCCATTAACTTTTAGGATAGGCCAAAGAGTTTCAATGCATTGAATGCCGTAGCTAAAGCTACTTCTTCGGGCGTTTTCTTCATAAAAGCAGCTNCCATTGAAAGAATGTATCCTATGCAAATATCTGTCTGGTACATCTACCTATGTAAATATAAAAGCGAACGTTCCGTTATTCCAGTCTTAACATGTTGCGGCAGCTTGGAAGCTCTTGTATTTGGGTACATGAACGGCGAGTCCGTTTCGACGAGAAGTCTATCGATAGGAAGAATTCCATTTTCTAAGAGTTTGCGTACTCCACTATCTGATTTGTCCTGTAACGTAAAAAAAAAATGCATTTAGTTGTTTTGTAAGTTTAATCTGTAAAATTATTGCCAATAATGCTGAATTTCCACTAGGCTTTAAATGCTAGAAAGTGTAATGACAAAGTTGAGCCTTAAAAAAAAGCAGTGCCGTTACGTTCAAGTTCATTTCCACATGGCATATCTTAAATGCCACCAATTTTGTGTCGTTTCAATGCCTAGTGGAAATTCGGCATAAAATAAATTATCATCGGTTCACGTGATCCAAAGTTATCGTATAACCTACATAAGTATGTACATAAAAAAATATTCCGACGAATTGCTAAACTGTTTTTTTTTGTCGGATAAAAATTAATGCTTTAAAATATTTGTTTACGGAATAACTCGGATTTCTCTAAAATTTATCTTACCTTGCATAAATAACCAGTTAAACTGATATAGAATCTTCTATTTAGATATATGACTGCTTCGTCGGCCGTTCCCATGAATCCTCTTATGATTATAGGTGGTAAAGTCTCGAATCTGTAAATTTAATCGCAGAGAAATGTTCATATCGATGGTCCTCTGCAATAACGACACAATTAAAAATTCAAAAAACAATATCCATTACTACTGTTGAGTGACTCTTGTCTCTAATCCTTGCCTAATCCTTAATATTCGCTTTAGTAATGCTTACTATTTATATAATATAT